TTCATATAGAATAGCTGAGTAGAATGAGGAAATTTTAGTCAGGCAGAGAGTTAATAGTAATATATTTCTTATTTAAACAATTATTAAAATAGGTTTACATCTTCCGCAATATATGATTGTATTAGAATAATCAATATGAATGATTTCTATGATTATAAATAGTTTATTGATTTAATTTAATTTTTTTATTTTTATTGGTACATTCTTTTTATCTGTTCGTTATATATATTTTAGTTATAAAAATTATATATCAAATACATTCAATAGAATTTGCTATATAATTTTATTTATTATACTATATTATTATTTCAGTTTCACTTTCAATGATATATATGCAGGCTTCTTGAAAAACTATTTGTATAATATATGAAATAATATAATATTGTTATAGAAGAACTCTAATTCTGAAAAAAAAATTTCATAGCAACTTTTTAGTCAAACAATATTTCACTTTATGCAATGCATACGATATGAAGTTCTGAACCAAAATTGATCTTGGTTATCACGTACACAAATTATCTTATAATTATACCGTCTTTATCACTATTCATTTAAACTTCATAAGAGCAATTCAATTTTTACACACTTATATTTTCTTTATAATAATAATTATTTAGGTATATATTACAAGAAGATGACCAATATAGTATTATTGTTATTTATTATTTACTTTATTTATTATATTACTATATTTATTTATTTATCAAACACGAAAAAACTTCAAGTTATTCTTTTAGATTTTGCATCGCCATTTATTATAATTTACTTATAATTTTCTCTTATCAGAAAACATTTTCTCTTTATTTTATTTTCTGTAATTTATGATATAAATTTCTATAAAAAAATGATATAATTTAATATTTTAATTTACTTGCGTAATTACATACTTTTAAGAATGTGTCAATAACATTTCGATTAAATACATTCAATGTCAACTTTGTCATATGCACACAGTTTAATTATTAATTTATCACAATTAATGTATAATTATTGTCCTTAATATCTAAATTCGTTTCTTAGGAATTTTATACAAATTTAGTCTATATAAAATTAGGTAAATTTAATTGTAAAAATGACTATATAATACCATACTTAAATTAGATATACATAACATTTTTTATTTATATATGCTTTTATATTATACCTTATTACGTAATTAGAATATATATTTTTACATTTTATTTCAGTTTTTATGAAGTAATTTAGGATATTTTTTGTAATTAAACAAAAATTTATTTCTTAATATCCTAAAGAGCTTAATAAAAAAAAATACATGAAGAATTATAATATTTGATTACATGATTTGGAAATTTTTTGGAATTTCCAATAACTTGAATTAATTATTAATTTTTATTGATATATTGTATAATTATAATATACAATATTACATATATATATATATATATATATAGTTGAAACTAGATATATTAATTTTTATCAATTTCTTACATCATTCAATTAAAAAATAGGAAAAGTAATTGTCAATAAAATACAGTTAGAATATGTGTGATTATTTAAAAATTAATATTTAAAATTTAATTATATATAATTATTCTGTTTTTATGTACTATAGTAAAATGTTCTATTCCAACAACAAATTATAAGATTCTTATGATCAAAACAATAATTTGAACAATAAAAGCAAAATCTTTTTCAATTTGCACGAAATATAAAATATTCATTCACTGCTGGCATTCAACTGATACCTGCTTCTTCTGTTTTTAGACCTTATTTACTACCGACCTACTTTTTCTTGAATTATTGAATCGAGCGTTGGACAAAAAAGAATATTTTTTTAACTCAGAGCGCCGTGGTTTCTAGTAATATCTAAATATAACATAACGTAGGAAAAGGGAATTCGTTGTGCAATATGTTTCTTAACTTTATATTATTTACGTTGAATGCATTTATATGTACGTTTGAAAAGCTTTCGTTTTGTTATTAATCACAGAAATTTACATCGCTTTCTTTGTACATCTACAACTCACTTAATCCATTTATTAACATAGATTTTCATACAAACATAGTATCATTAATCACACGATATTGCAATTAACATTATAATTTAAAATAATAAACATAATATATTCAAGTAGGTACATATTAAGTACATTATGCACATAGCAAACCTTATTTAATTACAAAATCTTTTCAGCCTATTTGTATTGTCTTTCTTTATATACGACGTTTTTTCGTTCCTACGTGTACTCTCTCTCTCTCTCTCTCTCTCTCTCTCTCTCTCTCTCTGTCTGACTGTCTTTCTATTTTTCATCGCTCGTATTATAAACTAATGACTAAAATTCTGATTTAAATTTTAGAAATTATTTATAAACAAAATTGATAAATAATTAATACAATATTATCAATAGTCATTTTTATATTACATTAAGTTTTATATTACTCAATTTTTTATTATCAATTAATAAAATATAAATAAATAATTATGACATCGTAAATAGGAATTCATAATAAATAGAAAATACAGAAATAAAACTTGATACAGATTTAAGATAGTAGATTTAATTATAAACGTTTTCTCATTTCAAATTTTATATTCACCTACAAATCAAATTATGATATTATCAGTTAATCCCAGCTAATAAAATATTCCGCAATTTGTATTACAAATATTATAAATACTGTAGATATGCACAATGAAATAAGATACTTTATATATATAAATTTTATATACGAAAACAGTTCATTCAATTCTTTCTATTAAGAGTAAAATGTTAAATTTTACTTTATATTATGAATAATAAAGTATGTACTTTTATAGAATTCTTAAAATTATATTTAATATAAATCTAAATATAATTAATTGGATATTATTTATATCAAAAGTATAGTTAATATTTCTATATATTATTATAAATATTAATTTTATTTCTATCTATTAAAATTTATTATGTTAAATTATAATTAAAGAAGATTTAAATTTTTATAACTAGAAATGATAGTTCTTAATAATTCATGGAGTAAAATATTTTTTCATTTTTTGCTAAATCAATTTACAATTGTATAATATTTTAAATCTATATTAAGATTTTTTTGAAAAATGATTGGCAATTAAGAATTTAGTAAATATAAGTTTAAATAACTTGGCAATATATAGTATTAATAAAAAATATATTATAGAATCCGAAAATGGAGGAGGACAAAAACGCTAATGATAAAGGGATTGGATTGTAAATATAGTGCGTGAATATTAATACTTTCAATTATTATGTAAACATATATACCATCATTGGTATTTTTTTTAAATAGCTAAGCTGAAAGTTAAAATTAAAAACACAAGAGGTTTTATGCAGTTTAATCAGTACATGCCTCTTACCATAAGGGCGTCGAACATGCGATTTAACCATTTTTCAAGAGAAACGTAGTTTTTACGTATTTCCATTAGGATATCTATTACGTAAATCCTATGTGAACTTTCTTAAAATCCACTACTTAATAAAAACAGAGAATCTTTCCTGAATAAGAATGTTTCTTACCATGATACGTTGTAAAAGTTCTTCTACTCACTTTTACAGTTTTTCGTATAACTACCTTTTTCGTCTTTTCATTGAATTTGGCCAAATTTCATCATACTTCGAATCTTCATCTATTCATATATATTTTTATGTATATATTGTTTTTTTCCTTCTCAGTAACTTATATTTAGTGTAAGCAAGATTATAAAATATATAATAATACTGTTCGTTACAAAGAACTTTCTACACGTATATTTTAAAATATAATATATAAATAATCATATATATAAGATCGTATAACATAAATTATTAGTGATAATTATTAACTTAAATATGTGTACATATAAACTAAATGAAGATTGTATTTCAATTTTATAAAATATAGTTATTACAATTTTAATTTTTAACCATTTTAAAAATTATTAAGACAATGAATCCATAAATTACTTTATACAATATTAATTTATTTAAATTTATTTAATTAATTATTCCTGTCGGAATTTAGATTAATTTCTTAATAAATTTGAATAATTATTTGCTAAGGTATTTTGTATAATTATAATTTTAAATATATTTTTTATACCTGTTATACATTTTATATTTAATTGTATAGAGCTGAGGATTTTAATGATTAATTTTATAAATATTAATTTTAAACTCAACGGATGGGATAATAAAATAAATCTATTCTCAGTATCCAAATAAATTTTTAGTATTGAAGATGATATTCTTGTAATTTACCGTAGCACCTTTTTCCTTCCGAATTATTATTTAAACGCAAATTTTTGTAGTAATTTGTAAAAATAACTTAAATAATTTGAATATATTTATTTTTCCATTTTATAACAGCCTTTCGACAGGTACTATACTTTCATTCGTTGCCTATTCATTTGATTTTTTTCATTCCAGTTACAAAATAGAAGCCAGTACTTTTCTTTTAGGAATAGTGAAAAAGGAAAAGAGAATTAGAGATGTACACTTTGAAATTACAAATTAAAGGATTCGAACAAAAATGCTTTATAAAGAAGATTAAATGATTTGACCAAATTATTAACATTAAAATAACTTATAAATTGATTTATATGATATATAAAAAATTTACAAATATAAAGTATTCACACAGCTATTCTCAAAGTTATAACGGAATATAAATTTTCCAATACAATATTAATTAAAATTCAAAACCTATTAAAGAAAATTTTTTTATAAAATCTATCAAATGTTTTCTAATTTTACAAAAAAATATATATCATTTAAAACAAAATCACTTAAAATTTAATGAAATCTCATAATATTAGACAGTGGTGATGCAAAATTTTTAATTTTAATTTTTCTGATCCTATTATTATTCATTGATATATGTTTTTTGTTTAAAAATATTAATATGTATGAGGTATATTAATATAAATAATTGTTATATTCTTTTATAAATGAAAGTTATTTGCAATATATATATATATATATATATATATATATAAAATAACAAAGGAAAATTTTAATGTAGCTACGAAAAGAAAGTTATTAACTATGTTACTTGACTGTAATACTAAGGTTAAATTATTCTGAAAAAAGATTTACTAAACATAAATTACTTTAGCCAATCTTCGTCAGAATTTATCCATATTGAATAATTTCATTCTTATTATTGTTTATTCATTGCTTGATTTATTATATGAAATACGTGTCCACGTGATTTTTATTCCTATACATATATTATGCAATATTTATTAAAAAGTAATTAATTTGTTAAAAAAATAAAGTTTACAAATACATAATTTGTTAATGAAGATGTTGATTTCTGTTTACAGATGCAGAGAAGACTACTTTTCTTTTTTTGTTGGCTATTGTTCCTCGATCTTTCTCGAACAGTCAATCCAGGTTATAATTTCATTCTAAATTTCAATATTTTAAAATGGATATTTAATTCTTTTATTTGAAATTTTAGAATATTATTACATCTAGAATACTATGATTAAAATAGAAAATAAAAGGGAGCGAGGGGGTATGTTAAAAAATTATATAAAATGTTATCATATATAGAATATTTAGAAAATGATATACAATAGAATTAACGAAGTTACTAAGCAAGTATAAATTTTTTCGAATCGATAGATAATTTTTAATAAATTTTAATAAATTTTAAATACAAAGTGTAAAAGTAAAAAAGTCGGATGCTTCATTCCATTAATTTGTGCTCTGAGTATTCGTACTCACAAAAGATTACGTTGTGCCAAGCACATAACAAATAATTTAAAACCTATAAAAGTTATAGTGTTACTGTTTATTATTTACAACAAATAAAATAGAAAAAAAACATTATGACTCACAAAATTTATCCATTGCAAATACAGTTTTGTTGAAATATCTGTCTGTGACTTGTTTTATATATAAAATTTAATGATTTAAGTACATTCAATCTTCAAATGAAAATAATAAAAACATTTGATATATCTATTGATTATTTATTATATATTCCAAAAAATTTAAAAATTATTTAAGTTCACTTTAAAATCTCTTTTAATAAAAAAAATAAAAATTAATGTTTATTAAATTATTGTAATTATTTTACTGTAATACCAATTTAAGTTATTCTTATATATATTAATAACTGTATTTCTATTAACCAATTGAACTTATTGATCTATTTATCTGAAATTCCATTATCAATCAAATTGTTAATTCCAATACAATAAAAACAATTTAGAAAGAATATATAATGCATACTTTATAAATGTTCAGATTGTGGAACTGTAAAACGTCCACTTTTTATTGCTATATCATCAGATTACGAATTCTTGTGAAGGGCGAAATTGCTCATTCTTAATATCCTATATAACTCTACTGTTTCCTATATTGTTATCTTATTCTATCCCTCTTGGTATTCTCTTTCTGTTATTTGATAAATTTCAAATGCATTATGAAAATAGATATTTTATTTCATTAATATAATCTAATAAATCGGTTATAATCATTTGTTTTTGTTGAATAATTCTATTTGATATCTAACACGTTACAAAATTTAAGTTACCTACTTCTGAACTAAATGCAACTTTTTCTAAAAGAATTTTGTGTTAAAATTTAATGTTATCTTTCATTGTTATATTTTTATTTTAATTTTTGTTTTAGTTTATTTTACTTACTCTCTACTTTCTAAAACTATATTTCTGTTTCACAATTCACATATTTCTATTTGTATGCAGGTATGTGTGCACAGATGTATGTGTTAAAAATGCTCTTTAATATATGTATAATTTTAACTACATAAATTAATAAAACTTTATTCAATAAATATTTTTATTGACAATTATTTTTAATAAACGACTAGCAAATTGTGTGAAATAAAATATTAAATGACGAAAATAACTAAGTAACAAAGAATTTTCCTGTTTTTTTTTTTTTTTGTTGTAATAAGAAAAAGTAAATATTGTTTTTATATTTTATTGATTTATATAATATTCTTAAAACAACTTTCTCTTAAAACAATAAATTATATCCATATAAAACATATAAGTCCAAGGAAAATCAGTCACATAAAATTAGTACATTAAATCAAAGTATATGAAAAAAAGTTTTCTTTTATATTTGCAGGACTATATTTAGTATAATTTTAATCCTTTTAATAAAAAAATTTTATTAAAATTTTTCTAATTTTAATTTATCTTTAGATAAAGATTTCGATTAAAAGATTCAATCCAACGATTCTAAAGGATTATTATCAGGACTTTAAAAATAATCGTATATTTTTTCTTTTAGAACTCAATTGTAGCCAATATTAAGATTCAGATAGTAAATTTTATATAAAGGTTCTTTTACCAGTATCCATTATCTCTTTCTCTCTTTCGCTCTCTCTCTCTCTCTTTCGCCCTCTCTCTCTCTCTCTCTCTCTCTCTCTCTCCTTCATCCTATCTTAGCTTTTTCATTTTATAGTGCACTTTTGCATATAAATAAATTTATTATCGAGTTAGCTGGAAAATGATGAACAACTATCGAAATATATTTAATAAAATGTTTATTTCACGGTATCGTCTTTATATTTATAGTAGATTCTGAAAAATTGTAATTATTTTATCTATAACTTTAAAAAGGAAACTTTTTATGGAATAAGTTTTTCGAAAAAATATCTTCATTGATCACAATATTTGCAAATTTAAAGAAAATATGAGAATTTTTATATACATAAGTAAGTTAACTTTAAAAATTATGTACATGAGCAGCATTTTCATATATAATTTGATCTTTTTCTTATTTTTATAAATTATTAAATAAATGTTTAGAATTTATTTTATGCTTTTTTATAAAAGGAACTATCATTTAAGTATTGAACTATTTTAAATCTATATTAACAAAATATGTAAATGTAATACATTAATAAAGTACCTAAATAAATTGATAGAGCATGCGTGACATTTATATTCAAAATAAAAAAGTAAAATAATTTTAAATAGAAATTTTTTGGTCTTACTTACTCAATGTATTTTAGATTTTATTACTGAAATAGTACTAAAAATTTTTTTTTCTTTAAACTAGTAATATTACATTATCATTTTAATTTTATAGTAATATTATGCTGCAACTTTTGTTTTTAGATTTAAATTAAGAATTATAATATTTAATGTAGCATTTGAAATTTATGTTAGTAATGATTGCTAAAAATGATTATATTTAAATTTTTATAAATTAATATTAAAAAACTTTGATCAAATAATAGATGAAAATGTGCTATATATATTGTCTTTGAATAAAATTTTATGAAATAGCATTATAATCAATTGCCAAAATTATCATATTTTCAGCAATATAAATATATAATTACCCGTAGATTATATAATATGATTACATACAAATATTCAGATGTGAAATGAAATTTGGTATACAAATATGCAGCTTATTATATGAAGTAGTTGAATCTGAATTATTCTCTATTAATTTAACATTTATACTCCGATTTATAGTATTAAAATAATTCAAATTCATTACCTATTAAAGATAATAAAAAAATTACAAAACTATATAAATTCTTTGAGACATCCACAATGTAATAAAGAATATAATATGCCGATATTACCGCAATGTATCTTATAAATTAAAAAATAATATAAATATTAACATACTGTAAATTGAATAATATAAAAATGATAATTTTTAAGATATTAATAAAAAAAGAAAAGATTTTAAAATATATTCAAAATAACAAATAATTAATTTTAATATTATATTAAAACTATATAATTAAGCTTCGTGTACTTAAATGTATCGTAAAAAATAAGGCAAACACGGATGAACATATGTCCCATATTTAATTATCTTTTATACTTTTAAAATCTGAAAACGATGTGTATAAATGTAATAGTTTCAAATTTGCATGCTACAAAATATTGTGATATTTTTTATTGGTTTATATTTATTTATATAGATCTATAATGATGTAGCAAATCTGAAATATTTGAAAAATATAACATTACTAAATATACTTTATTATAACTATTATTATTAATTTAATTTTATAATTATTGTTCTACTAATAATTTATTCATCATTACATTTCAATATAATTTTTTAACACTTTGATCAGTAATTATGACGTAAAAATGCTCTTTTATTTCATTATACTATATAAATGGAATACTATAGTAAAAATTAAAAAACTATTTTATTTAAGTGATCAAGAGATTTTCAAATTATTTAATAGAATTTAAATAAATTGAATTATTTTTATAATTTTTACAGTGTTAATAATTAGAAAAATATATACAGTTATTCACTAAGTAAGAAATATTTATTTAATTATTTTAAACTACTCAATTTTTCGTCATTTACTAATGAAAAAAAGCACGCAACAACAAAAAATTTAAATAACATTATTTAATTTTTTAAAAAACTTCCACCCATTTTTGAATTATATATTCACTTTTTTCGTCTATTTTTTATTAGAAATTACTATATTATTTGTTTAATATTTAAATGTAGTAACTGCTCAGTAACGTTTCTTTCAGAATTACGATTTATTAAAACGTACATTCAGAAAGACGTGTATATCTTTTTTAATAATATGACAAATTGTATGCGTTATTAATGAATATATTTTTTAAGTCTTTTAAATTTTTATGTCTATTATTTCTAATCTTACTTGAAAATGTTAGATGTGAGTATATATACATGCGTATAAGCGTTATATCTCTTAATCTCTATATTATTTACTTGTCCAAAGCATAAACCTAACAAACGTCCTACTGTTTCTGTAATCAATATTAAACAAAATTTTATTTCTCTTGAATCCATTAAATTTATGACAATAAATTACATAATAAAATATATATATATATATATATATATATATATATATGATACTGTCAAACATATATTATTTGTATTATTCTTATTACTTATTAACTTCACCATTTAATTAATTTAATTATTTTTAAACATTTTTATTTCTTTACTTATAAATACAAAAATTCTGTTATTTTAATCTAATATAGTATATAACTGAATAACTAGATAATTTTATTAATATTTAACATTTATCTATTATATTGTATTTTATTAATATTTTCTAGCAATCTCTGATTAATAAATCAATTATACTTAGTGAATTTTGGTAAATATTTATGAAATTATTTGAAATTAATTGAAATAAACTTTTTTATGTCAGTTAAACATAAAACCGATATTTTGTTTAGTTTGTTTTGAATTCAACAATTGACTAAATTGCCAGCTATTCGATACAAAGACTTGAATTATATAGATATTGAAATTAGGTATTATAATTTTATATGTACTAATATTTATACAACTACAAATAAATAGTGACCAAGTGAGCACCAATATACATTTTTTACAATTTACATTTTTTCTATTTCTCAAGATATTCCCCCCCC